CCGGCGCCAGGAGCCAACCGATTGTCTGCTGAGCTAGTTAAAAGGAAAATCAGGGCGACTGATTTTACGTTAATTTGAGCGCACCTCTTACCTCTTGCCTTTTGTAGCATTCATATTAATCAGGCTACCTACAAGCCTGGGACAAAGCGATCAGGCGGTCGAGTCCGTCGCTCGGACCGTCTGGCTGGCACCGGCGGCGGTACCTCAGACCGCGGGGGTACCGGTGGACACTCGGGTGTCGGCACCGCCATCTGCACTGTGCCGGACGATTGCTCCTCAATCGCTGGCTCCTTACCTTGCACAGCTGTAGTGCCGTTGATGGGCAATCGTGCCCAGGCTGTGACACCAGCCGGGCCATCCGCTGACCCACTGTCCACGGAGACCGACTCTGTCTCTGCTGGCGGCGTGGTCTGAGCGCGTGTCACCGGTGACGCAGCATCAGCACCAGCCTCATCCTGACTCTCAGTGACCTCTGGCACAGGTGGGGTAACTATCGGCTCAGTTCGCGGCTTCAAACGATTATGGTGAACCAATAATGTTTTCCTGGAGCCCGTGACCTTGATACGATAGTTCAAGTCCCCTACCTTTGCTACAATCACCGCAGCCTTCCACGGTCTCACAAACTTGTAATATTGTCCCTTAGGAACCACAGCTTTATGCAAAAATACCAAATCTCCCTCTTTGTATTCAAACTCATTCATTCGTTTTTCGTAGAACCGTTTGTTTTTCCCATGTGAAGCGTCAGATACCTGTAGCGCATGCTTGTGTGCAATTCTCAAAGACTCGCGTAGCTTATCTACATATTCTGTGACGGTCTGAGATTTGCTCGCGACTGGAACCTGGAGCTCAGCCTCCACAGGCAGGCGCGGCTCTTTACCGAACATGAGAAAATACGGACTGTAGCCCAGCGCACTGTGCTCGAGCGATCTGTACCCCAGCATCAACAATGGGAGGTGCTCGTCCCACTGATCATGATTGGCGTCGAGATACTTCGAAAGCATGTCGAGCAGAGTCCTCATCATCCTCTCGACCTTACCGTCACCCTCTGGATGATAGGCACTTATCTTTGTTTTCTCGATGCCGAAAAGACGACACATCTCGGCAATCACCTGACCCGTGAAATTGGCGGCACAATCCGAATGTAGCTTCCTCGGGCACCCGTACCTGGAAAAGAATTCGCTTACCAGAGTGGACGCTACTGTGGTGGCCGTCATATCCTTCAGCGGGAACACCTCACACCAGCGAGTGAAGTGATCGATCACCACCAACAAATGCTTATGACCACTCGGCGTCACTGGCAGGTTAGTCAAGAAATCGATCGCTACCGTCTCGAACGGCTCGGAAGCATGCAGTTCACCCAGCGCGGCTCTCGGTCTCGGTACCGGCTGACTTCTGGATGAACACCGCTCACAGCGCTTGCAGAACTCCTTGACGTCTGTCAACATCCCTACCCAGAAAAAGCGTCGGGTCACTGCAGCGTGTAACCTGTCCGGTCCGGGGTGACCGGCGGTCGGGCCGCTGTGCAGTGACGTCAGCACACCGGTCACGAGAGATCGCGGAATCACCAGCTGCAGCTGAAACTCATCTCTCGCCCTCCTGCGGTACTTTCGGTACAGGACACCGTCAAGAAGGGTCAGTCGGGACCACTGCCTCAGCAGGGGACGCAAGGACCTGTCGACACTGCGGCGATGTGGACGCTGTCCCGAGGAAAGATGCTTCACGATCTCTGAAATTGTTGCGTCCTTACCTTGCTCGTCTTTCATGAAACTGGTGGACCACAGATTCGCATTGATCTGATGGCACCGCGCTTCCTCAGTCTGCACGCCTGCGTCAGCTGTGCTCTCGGGGCGCCGGCTCAGACCATCAGCTGCTGTATTAGTGGCCCCCGGGCGATAAGAAATGTCAAATTGATAATTTCCCAAAACTTCAAACCACCTGGCTAGCATGCCGGTGGGGTTCTTAAAATTCAATAACCACTGCAGACTACTATGATCAGTACGTAGTTGAAATCTCGCTCCCTGAAGGTAGTGGTTAAAATGTTGCACAAAATGAACACACGCTAATAGCTCACGCTTCGTGGTAGAGTAATTTCTCTGTGACTTTGACAGCGTCTGGCTGCCGTACGCGACTGGACGCTCGACACCATTCTGCACCTGCAGCAAAACGGCTCCCATACACTCTCCACTGGCGTCCGTCTCCAAAATGAATGGACCTGCCTCTGAATCAAAACGCGGAAACGCAAGCACTGGTGACTCGCATAAGGCCTTTTTCAATGAATCAAAAGCAATTTGAGCGCTGTCCGACCATTCAAACTTTTGATCCTTAATCGTGAGGCGGAACAGCGGCGCTGCAATATCCGCAAAGTTTTTAATGTACCTTCTAAAGTACGAAGCTAGCCCAAGAAAACTGGACATCTCCTTGGCTGATCTGGGCACAGGCCAGTCACGTACCTTCTCTACCTTGACAGGATCGGCCTTGATACCCTCCCCTGACACTTCATGTCCCAGATAGGTGACCTTTTTCCGGAAAAACTGACACTTTTTCAAGTTCAAAGTCAACCCTGCATCCATGAGACGACTCAAAACACAATCCAGTGACTCCAGAACACTCTGAAAAGTTGACCCGTGCACAATGATGTCATCAAAGTAACTGACACATTTTTCCGGTGCAATATCCCCTAACACTATGTTCAGCAGACGAGCACAGCTCGCTGGCGCTCCTGCGAGACCAAAACAAACCCGTGTGTACTGCAGACACGAGAAAGGTGTCACGATCGTTGCCTTTTCTCTGTCCTCCGGTGCAATTGACATCTGATGGTAAGCCGAGTTCATATCAAGGGTACAAAATAGCGACGATCCCGACAGCGCATCTAACGTGTCATCAATTCTGGCTATCGGATAGGCGGGGACTCGCGACACAGAATTCAATCGACGCAAATCGGCTACTATTCTCGCCGACCCGTCCTTCTTACGAACCACGCAAATTGGTGACGCCCACGTGCCCTCTGACTCCTCTAAGATCCCCTGTCTGACTAACTCGTCTAGCTGAGCCTTCACCTCCTCTTTGAGGTGCGGCGGAATTCTGCGTGGGGCCTGTCTGATCGGAGGGCTGTCACCCGTATCGATACGGTGCTCCACCAGAGTGGTGTGGCCCACGTGACCATCGAACATTGACTCGTACTTTTTAAGGACGCGAAAAAGGGCAGCTCTCTGTGATGACGTTATATCTACTCCCTCTAAGTTCACTAATTCTTCCAAGTTCACAGACTCTTTAAGCTCAGACTCTTTTACTTTAGGCTCCTCTGAAAACCCTACCTCTAACTGAGCCAGCTCAGCGTGCTTGGGTACAGTAACAAAACGATCAGAGTTGTTTCGCAATACTAATGGAACGCTCGTGCCAGACACTTCCACTATGCTCCTCACAACCTCTAATCCCGGTTTATCCCAAGAAGGTTCAATCAGAGCAGAACCCCTGTAGTCACAATTGTGAGAAAATCCACGAACCACCGTCTCACTACCGGGTGGAACGGTAATATCTTTGCCCAGAACCACGGTTCCTACAGTCACTGCCTCCGCTGAAACAGATCGAACTGCCTCCGACGGCACAAAGCTCAGGCATTTCCGCTGCAGATCTATTACACACGGTTGCACGTGCTGAAGGAAATCAATGCCAAACAGGCAGGGCACATCAATCACATCTGACACATAAAAGGGAACAGTCTTTTGTACGCGACCTATCTGAACGGAAAGGACAGTTCTCCCTAGGAGAGGCAACTGTTCCTGCGCGGCCGTCCGCGCCCGTGTCGCTGTCATACTCAAAGTGGCGTTCGGTAAAGCATCAAACACTGCCTTATTAATGATACTTATCGTTGAACCCGTATCCAACAAACAGTTACACTCAACCCCACAGATCCTAGCCGGGAAGGTCATATCTGGGTTGAGCTGTACGCTGTCACCAGCATCACTTACTGTTCGGGTGTTGCCGCGGGACCCGGCCTCGGGCTTTGACCTGGGCCCCGGTCGGCGTTTCCCGGCGGATCTTGGCACACGGCTGCCAGGTGTCCCTTCTTACCACACGAGTGGCAGGTGCTATCACGAAAACGGCATCGGGACCGCACGTGATCAGCACCACCACAGGCCCAGCAGGCGCGCGCCGGCGCCTCGTTTGCCCGGGACGGCTGCGACCCGCGGCGCCGTCCGGTCCGCTCGGGGCGTCCGGGGCCGTCCAGACGCCGCTCGAGCTGCTCGATGCGATCGAGTATCAGGCGCAACATCGGCGCCTGCACCTCTACCTGACGCACTGACGCGCTTCGCAGCACCTCAGCGCTGCGGATATTGCTCACCTTTTGCACGGCGGCTGGGAAATCAGTAATTCCCGCCATCACAATCTCTGAGCGATATTTCTCGGGGACGGCTGACAGAAAGTAGTTAAAAAGTAGACCATCGGTCGGCTGATCTGGGAAGGAGCGCCTTACCAGAGACTTAAACCGCACAAGGAACTCGTCCAGAGACTCGGCGGGGTCATACTTTAACTCGGTCAGACGAATGTGCGCGTCGATTGTGGTCCCCACTGTGAACGTTTCCCGCAAACCATTGAAAACGCTGTCCAGGGATCCCTTCTGACTCGAGCTCAGAGCATCATAAGCATCCCGTGCAATGCCTTCTAGGGTCAGTGGCAGAAAAGAAAGCTGCTGTCCCTCATCCCAGCCCTGAAGCCGACCAAACGTTTGAAAGTCCTCACGGAAACGGGACAATGAGCCCTTCCCACCGAAACGGGGTGCCGGTACAATAAAAGAACTCATTTTAAATTCCTGCTTAGGTACCACATTAACTGGTTAGCCAAACCTGACCTAGCTTTACAGTGAACTCTAATATCATTTCCATTGCGTATTTACTTTGATTTTTCGCACGTTGCCCTGACACCACTACTGAATTGTTCATCGACAAACACTCAAAACACAGTTCACCGACCCCGAAATCCCAGTTCCCCAGGCACAGTACCGTGAGTGCAGTGACGGCCAGTCCCCTCCATCCGGCGCCTTGTCTGCTGCTCCTCGAATCAGCTGACGGCTGACGCGATCCAGTGCAGCGCCAACGGGCCGCAGAGCTAGGCAGAGCTCCAAGCCGAGTCGCGGTGGGCGATACGGCCGGCTGGTGCCGATCACCAGCAGCGAGGAGGTCGGACACCAATCGCTATGGCGGTGCCGACTCGTCACTCGCTCACCACTCGCGCACCAAATCACTGAACACTGCACACTGAGCTCGCAGGCCGCAGCAGCGCGACGGCTGGGCCGAGATCACCACAGGCCACTGCGCACTGATCGCTGTCTCTCAGCCTCCTCACGGACGTCACCTCCATCACAGCTGAGACTGCAGGTAGCCGGTACCACGAAGATTGTAGAAGCAGGGAAACAGCGCAGCCCGAGACTAGGCTCCTCTTGCTTCGGTAGCCCTTGGCTGGTCGATCTCCATGACGGCTCGTAACTGGTCCATCTTGCGATAATCTTGATGAATAAACGTGTTGTAGCAACGGCGCTCAGTCGACACTTGCAAAGCCAAGTGGACCGAGGATCAGTCGACCGTAGCACAGCTCAAGAAGCGGAGCTCAGTGCTAGCGGGAACAGACGGCACTGCTGGACAGTCGCCGTGCAGCGACCAACATGGCGCAGTCTTCAGTCGGGACAAAAGGCGTAGTCGACCGACCTTACCGGCTAACTGACAACTCGTCAGAGTGTTGCAGAGCCGGAAAACCAACAGCAGACATCTTGCACTGGCGATAGCTTCTCCGAAGATTTCAAACAGTCAGTTGAAATCTTGAATTCTTCATCTTGAGGCCGCGAAAGCCGAGGACGTCGGTTCGGGCTCCAAGCTCCATTTCGACTAAGTCGATCCCACCGCTGCCACCAAATGTAAACCCGTGTTTACTGAAGGTGAATCGACATAATCAAAAGTGAAGAACATTACATTGTATTTAGCTTAGGTTACATTATAACAGAGCCAGGAGCGCAACCTCACTCCTTGAGCTCTCGATCCAGACTCCCCGCCCACAGTCAGCCGAACACCTGGCCGTGAGCTGAATGGGCGAAAACATAGTGCACATGAGATGCTCCGATCTCGGCATCCGCTATATAAAACATTATACTAATTGGTCAGTAAAGCCGCTAAGCATGAATAACAGTGTTTGCCAATCTAATAATATGTCGTACATAATAAAAAACATTTAATTGCATTATCTAGGACAGCTTCGAGTTCATACCTGAAGCAACAATTGAATAGCAGACGATCACGCGCAAAACCGTTGAATTAAATTCCTGTCCAGACATCATATGGTCACCGGGCTCCTCTCGCCGGTGAAACAGATAAACTTTAATCGGCGCAAAGCTTGCCGATTACAAGTGCACCATCTGTGTAATTCGGTCCGCGTTACGTACATTGGGTGTGACAGTTATTGCATTTGCAGACAGTAGCAGGTCGACAAGCAAATCTGGCGAGTTCGCGGCACTTTCCTGAACTCGGCGGCTGACGATGGGGCTAATTTGATCAGATGCACTCCGTACTTTCCTGATTTCGTTAGCAAAGAACGTCGGCTGAGTGGAGCGCAGGCTCGCGCTGCGCCGCTTCTGTCTCAGCGGCTACGAAAGCGGCGCGTCACTTCTGATTAGACGAAAGGTCGAGTTGAAATGCGCGGGGCGCAGGCAGGACGTAACCCCGGGATGCGTTGACACTTTTTGCGAACAACCCTTTCGAGTGGTTATGCATAGCGTCATTTCGTTTTTGTCTCGGATCCCATTTACCACTCGGTCCCTTTGATATAAAAGGCTTTGGAAAATCAGTCTTGTTCAATCTAAGCAACCACTTCAGAATGCCCTTTGTTATTACGAGTTTTATTTGTGATGTCCTTTTGCTCATGCATGGCATTATTAACATCAGGTGTCATGGAGTTGCCTTGGTCGATATCAGAAATTCATTGACGTAACAGGCAAGCGGCAGCCACTCGTCGTATCGCGAATTTCGAGTTTTTTTTACATTGGATTCAAAATGAAGGGTCTTTGTAATTATCATAATCTAATCAGTTGACGCATTTTCTTTTTTACTCTTTATGTAAATGCTCAGCAACTAGCCATGTTTTTACTGTGAGCTCTGCTGTTCCTGCCGGCGCGGGGCGCCCGTTGCCACACACTGCAGTCGTAACACCTCCTGGCTCCCAAGTCACCAGTGTCGCCAGCGATGGCTGACCGGCCACCGCCATACCTATCAATGACCGCGCCGGGAAGCCCTACACAAAGGTGCCTTCCGCACAACTCGATCGATACTTAAAAACCGACCCGGGCCGGCTGACAATCCAATTTGTCAATCAAGGCCTCGCACGGGTCATGCCTGGCTTCGTATATGTCCTCACTATATCCCTCGGCGGTCAGTGAAACTGATCGCCCTATAAAGAGGCGCCACGACTTACCGGGAAAATTCAGACGCCAGTGTGCCTCCTGAACCTTGGCATGCTCAGTGCTCACACGACCAGTTAAACATACACGCAATGCTTATTGATCAGTGTCGTGACTAATAATCGTCCTGCCTAATGTGAGTGCCACCCGCTCTGCAATAGCTTATGCTGTCCTTGGTGGGTCATTCACGTTGAACACTAGACAACACTACGCAGTACCGTGCTGCGAAATAAGATTTGCTGCATCGTTAGGTATTGGATGTCTGATGTAAGATTTGCTCTTCACTTATCAGGGAAGAGTAGGGAAGTGGGACGAAGGAAAAGTGGATATCTGTAAGATCTGACCGACCAAGCATAGATACCATAACCTTTTTGCACATTTTCTGTGGAATGCATGCATATCAATCAAAACACTCACACAGCCGAGATGCATCCTGAACGTCTGCAAATGCCTGAAATGCTCTTATCTTGTTTTCAGTCATGACGTCCACACGGATATTACGGCAAGGAGCTGTGCTACTGCTCACACTGGCAGTGACCTCTCACACAGTGCACGGTAAGTTGTATTGGTACTCATACCCGAGGCCCTAAAACTACCTAATGTCAATGAATATTAGCCTCGGCAAACACTTTTCTGGGAACAAACACATATCGCGTATCATACGGTACACGTACCCCTAGATGATGATGTGCTTCACACATTTCTGCCATTTCTTTCTCACACATTTTCACAGTCTCACACACTTCTTTCTCACACATTTCTTGTTGTGCGGGACAGAAAACTGAGATGCATAACCCCTGAGACGCTGACGCTGACGCTGACCCGTGCTGACGACAGGCTGCTCGGAGCCGCTGGGTCTGATGACGGGCGAGGTCGAGGACTGGCAGGTGGCCGCCAGCAGCACACTCACCTCCGACCCCAAGTGCAACACCAAGTACGCCCGGCTGCACGGGCCCAACGGCAAGGCCTGGTGCGCCGGCTACAAGAGGGAGGCCGAGTGGCTGCTCATCGACCTGGGCGTCGAGGCCACGGTGGGTGACCAGCGGCTCGCATCACCGCTGAATCATAACGGCCGATCGCACTTGGTTTATTATTGCATCGGTCTGCAAACTTGTGCTCCCAGCGGGTGTGTTTGTGTTTTACAATCGTATGTAGACATGGCTCTAAGATCAAAATACACCTTATATGGCAATGTTTAGGTGGAAAGCTCGTGTCAATTCAGACTAATGCTCAATTAGATGATGGTTGGGTGAGTTGGTCCCGAAAGACACTTCTCCTCAACGTTCTGAAGACGTTTTTCCTGACGTTTGCAGATCTCCAGTGTAATGATCCAAGGTCGGGGAGACGGCAAGCAATGGGTTACCAAGTTTGTGCTTTCCTACAGCGACGACGCATACACCTGGAAATTCACCAACGACATCTACGGAAAGAAAAAGGTAGCTATACACGATACCTATAAATCAATAAAAAATAGCGTGTCTGTCACATTGTTTATCAAGCTGTCAGCAGTTTTTTATCACTTGCAGGAATCAGGATGTCATTGTCAATTCAATTTTAATTAATGAACTTTACATCATCGTTGAAATAAACGACGGAAACGCTTACTTTTCTTACAGTGATCTTTTGTGTAAGTCCCTCAGTCACGCAAGCCGGACTGGATAGTGTATAATGTTTCGGAAGACAGTTTGCAACTCCAATAAAGATTAGGCTTCAATCACAGCTGACGACCAATTACGGCGCGGTTACAGATATTTTCGGCCAACACGGACTCGCACTCCCTGCGCCATCTGTACCTGGATGAGCCAATCACCGCTCGGTTCGTTCGGATCCATGTGATGGAGTGGCACGGACACCCCAGCCTGAGGATCGAGCTCATCGGATGCCAGGGTAAGCTGCAATCCATGGCGAACATACAATGTGAATATGCAGCCGGTCTGGGAGGGCCGAACTCAATACGAAGCATTGGCTCTTTACACGCGATGAGTCGTAAAGCACCGTTCGGTTGAGACCAACGCATGCAATTATCCGCACGCAAGTTCCTCCCCGTCGCAAGATTCGTGTTTGATGCAACATATAGGCAGTTGAGTAGGTATAGTTATCGGTTGTTCGAAAGCTATAATCAAGCAGAAATCAATCATAATTGGCGATATACTTAATCGTCTTTCGTCAACATAATGAGATACAATCCGTTCAGGTGCAAATTGTGATGGGAAAGAAGTTCTTGCAAGCCTTCCCTGAGTTAATTCAAATTTGTATTGCAAACGAGAGTTTGAAGCCAAACAAGTGTGCACAGCTGTTTTCCTGCCATATACAGCAGTAAAGTTATTTATTCATTGCGTTTATTTTGAAACTCGATTCCGTATATTTCGGAGTGTCGGTAGCTCTTTATTGCCGTGCTTAAAATGGCGTCAGCTGAGTATTTCGCATTCAGTACGTAGGTACGTCAGTGTCGTCAGCTGAAAATTACCCTCTTTCATAGTGCCGTCAACTGACAGTTGCTTTGTTCCAGAGTGTCGTTAGCTGATACATACATACTCTGTTTCAGAATGTCTTCAGCTGATTATTACCGCTGTTTCGGATCGCCGTCAGCTGACAATTTACCCTGTTTCAGAGTGTCGTCAGCTGATTATTCCCCGTTTCAGAGTGTCGTCAGCTGATCAGCGTGCCTCCGCACGCCAAAGTGACGGCCTCCAGTTCTCCGCGGTGGAGAAGGAAGCGCTCCTGTCAGCCCGAGGACGGGGTCATCTTCAGCAGCTCAGCCTGGTGCTCCAGGCACAAAAACAGTAAGAGATATTCAGTATGTCAACACCTACAATTAATTATCCCAACATTTCTGTTTTCTTTACCTAATCTTTTGTAAAAAAAGAAATATAATATGCAACTAAATTTGCAATTTCACTGGAATGCAATCTATACTATATCAAACATAAAAATGCATATATTTTCCACTTGACAACTTGTCAAGACAAGTGCAAATATGGGGCGTCGTTCTAAGTCACTAATTGCTTTCAGGGAACCAATGGCTGCAGTTTGACTTTGGCCCTCCGAGAAAGGTGACCGGCATCCTGACCCTGGGCAGGGGAGACGGCAGACGCAAGCGCTTCGTCACGCAGTACAGCCTGTCCTACAGCAACAACAGCGTCGTCTGGCATTTCTACAAAGACGACAACCACCTCGACCCCAAGGTCAGTTGATGACCGTATTCAGCTACCCAGCAAACCGATCATGATTAATCTACTAGCTTTGGGTAGCGGTAAAGGGAATGTCGTCCACGTTTTAGACGAAATTGTCAGCATATGACTGTCCTGCTGCCACCTGACCCGTGAGTCGGTGCTCTGACCCTTCAGCTAACCTGTGGGTCGGTGTGCCGTACCGTCCAACAGACCACTGGGTCTGTGTGCTGTACCGTCCAACAGACCACTGGGTCTGTGTGCTGTACCGTCCAACTGACCTCTGGGTCTGTGTGCTGTACCGTCCAACTGACCTCTGGGTCTGTGTGCTGTACCGTCCAACAGACCACTGGGTCTGTGTGCTGTACCGTCCAACTGACCTCTGGGTCTGTGTGCTGTACCGTCCAACTGACCTCTGGGTCTGTGTGCTGTACCGTCCAACTGACCTCTGGGTCTGTGTGCTGTACCGTCCAACTGACCACTGGGTCTGTGTGCTGTACCGTCCAACCATGACCTCTGGGTCTGTGTGCTGTACCGTCCAACTGACCACTGGGTCTGTGTGCTGTGGCGTCCAACTGGTCTCTGGGTCTGTGTGCTGTACCGTCCAACTGACCACTGTGTCTGTGTGCTGTGGTGTCCAACTGGCCTCTGGGTCTGTGTGCTGTACCGTCCAACTGACCACTGGGTCTGTGTGCTGTACCGTCCAACTGGCCTCTGGGTTTGTGTGCTGTACCGTCCAACTGACTTCTGGGTTTGTGTGCTGTACCGTCCAACTGACTTCTGGGTCTGTGTGCTGTACCGTCCAACTGACTTCTGGGTCTGTGTGCTGTACCGTCCAACTGACCCGCGTGCTGTCGTCGACAGGTGTTTGCCGGCAACATGGACACGGCGACGGAGCGTCGTCACTACCTGAACCAGCCGTTCGTGGCCAGCTACATCCGGCTGCACCCGGTCGACTGGAGGAAGCAGATCGCCATGCGGGCCGGCGTGCTGGGCTGTCCGAACCGCGGCCTCTGCGGGCCCGGATACATCCGCGTCAACGAGGGATCACCCTGCAGTGAGTGCTGCTTCAGTGTCCGTGCGGGGCTGATATCACTATCAGCGTGGATCGCTCTGAATAGTGCTACCTTTGTGTGACGAATCATAGTTGCTCGAATAGTCCTAACTGATCGACGACTTCGATCGACGGCTTCGATTGACGCTGTTACCGTGTCTCATTTTACCTTCCTTTCTACAACTCTGTTCATGAAAGCTTATTAAGAAGCTTGACAGAATAACGCCCATCGACAGTGGAGAACCTGGCGTACCAGCGTCCGACTTGGGTGAACGACAAGCGGCAGAGCTGGAAGGACTGGACGTACGGCAACTCCAAGCTGGCCGTGGACGGCGACGAGAGCAACCACCTCAACAAGTGCGCCATCCTGGACAACTATTACGTGGACAACCCCGTCTGGATGGTCGACCTCGGGCGCAGACGGGAAATGAATGGCGTCGTGCTGGCTCTCTGGGACGGCAAAGGCGAAGGTAAATATTGCACTCTTACCGTCAACATCGACACAGGCCTGCCGTTCAGTATTGTAGTACTTATCGTTTAGTGGGTGGATATACCTGTTTTTGTTATCGATTACCAATAAAATGTCATATTGCACAGCTTCAATGAATGCCACTTATTGCCAGGGTTTGGGGATATTCGAGTTATCTCCAAACAATGGTCATAAATCTCGCCCTGCCGTGTTTTAGGTTCATTAAATCAGCTGTTGTCGTGCATTATTCACTCAACTAGCACTCCGATTAAATCACAGTGCGAGAATGCCGTCCCTGCCGTCTGTAACGAGTGACTCTGTGTTTATTATTCGTATCATTTCTCACCCTGTGCCTGTGCCGTCACCGGCAGACAACTCCACCCAGTACCGCGACTACGTGCTCAACTTGGACAAGCTGAGCGTCTACGTCAGCAACAAGCAGCACCAGGTGAACGTGGACGCGCGCTCCAGCCACAAGTGCGACTACGTCAGCCGCGAGAACGGCGCCCTGTTCCGGCCGCGCCTGCACGTGGCGTGTCCCAGGGAGCTGCGCGGCCGCTACGTCTACATCAAGGCGTACGGCGTGCCCAACCGGTGGCGCAAGCTGTTTACGGCGATCCTCTGTGAGGTGATGGTGTACTAGTGAGGCGGCGGGGGAGGCGGCCCTGTGGATCAAAGCGCCGTGCGCTGAGGACTCGGACAGAGCGAGCCGGCGATGCCCCCGCCGCCACGGAGCCGACCCGCGCCGAGCTGCGGCCGGCGGGCCTGTTTGGTTGTGTAGCTGGATAGACATTCGCGTGTGTTGTGTGTCAGTTGAGTTGGCGACAGTGAGATAGGGTATCTGTGACGTGTTTGTGGTTTGTGCCGAGCCGGCGGATGTGCTGTCGCTAGCCGCCGTTCGCGGACCGGCGGGTTAGCGTCGTCGTCAGATGTATAGAGCATTTTATGACCGTCAGCTGCCGTTTCAGAGTCATTTTGTGCTCAGCTGTCACGGCCTGAGCGTTATGGAAGGCCGCTGTAGACGTAGTTATGGCCATCTCGATGTTGTTCTAAGACAAGTTAGGGTGTATATGCGGCGAATACCTCTTCATTCCGTATGTATAGTTAGTCTAATCATAGAATGTCTCCTGTCGAAATTATGCATTGTCTTCTCTTATTTAGGCATGTGAATTACGCTATTACCAGAGGAGCACTAAGCATGTCAGTGGTTAATTCATTTGTATCATGTTGTGGCAAAAATGCAATGCGTAGGTAGCGTTTTTTCCTCATTTCGTAGGTAGAGTGTATCTAAGATAAATATGAAGATGCTTTCATGGCGTCTGAAGTTGAAGCTCCCGCAGACATGATTTATGTTTCAGCAGATTTCAGGTATCTGCTAGATACCCGAACCGACGCAACGATAATCCGTTTCGCGTGGTATGTTTGCAGCTTTTGTAAACGATTGCCTAACATGACGTTTGGTGAATAACTACAATGGTTATATCTATTTGCGAGTATTTATTAGAAGTGATGGCCATTTTTCCTTCCATGCTTGTGGTTCGAACAAATAAACGGTCGTCATTGTAAGCTGTCCGCAACATTGTGCTTTCGTGATAACGTTAAAAACCTGTAGAACTTTAAATAATATTTTCACGAATATTCAGCATTCACGAATTATTTATATTTCATTACAACTAAAATTCGCCCAAGGATCTGTTTCTTTTTGTAACTTTAGTTACCCAAGAACGAAATACTGCGTGGTGAGAAGTGAGAACCAGCCGGACCTCGTACACTGCGTGCTCCCGATGTGTGGCGAACCAAGGTGGTCCTTTATTCCCGTATGCAGAGCGAGCATCCATCTCTGTTCGGGCTCGTCTAGGACGCATGTTTCTTGGCCATTACTTTCAGCTCGGTGTCTTGAATAGGCACGACTCCAACCTCTTCTCCCACTTAGCATAAATAGCAACGCCCCAATAGCCATTACCGACTGGCAGAAATTGTCGCTAACTGCCGCCGCCGGGGGCAGAGACTCGAGTGGTGTACCGCTCGGGGGCAGACCGAGGTCCTGTGTACCGCCGGGGGGCAGACCGAGGTCCTGTGTACCGCCCGGGGCGCGGTGTGCGGTGACGGCAGCTCTGGCCGGACCGCGAGCGGCCGGCAGCCGACACCGCTCGCACCGAGCTGTAATCATCACCGGCCTCCGGGCCGGCCCCGGTCAGCGCTGATTTATGCATAGAGGCGATCAGTGAGAGTCGGCAAGAGACGGCCGGCCGCCGGCTATTGACCGGTAGGCTCTGTCCGAGTCTGTCGCCCGGTAATGGCTGCCCCGTCCGCCGCCCGCTCCCCATCTGCGGCTATCGCCAGTTGTGACACCCGCCCACAGGCCACCGCCTCGTTACCGAGACCAGACCGGGTGTCAGTGTTTATTTACTAACAAGGTCATCGTCATAGCCTGCACTGTAAATCATCTCCAACATTTAGTGACTGCGCTCATCGCGATTATCTGGCCTTGAAGTCAAGGCAGTTTATCTCGGCACCCTGCTTCCTGACTAATTAGCTCTTCGATGTCGTACTGCAGTCTTTCTCTGTTTGGATAAGTGTCACCCTTGTGCGGCGTTCTTCCGACTCTGAAGCAGAGGAAAACTGAAGTCAGTACATACCATCCTACTTCACTGCTGCGATCGGTGACACGGTGAGAGTCTAACTCGACACGACGAATGGCCCTCGTCGCCGCCACTGCTGCTCTCATATCACATCCCGCTGAAGACGGCGGTCACGGCGAACCCGCTGGAGTGCCTCGGAGGACCTGCACGGTGCACCTCTCGCAGGGCCGCTGCGGTCACTCGGAGGGGCGCGGGGTCGGCCGGAGACACACACAACTCACATCGCCTTCATCACGAACAACAACAGACGACAGCTGTTTTGAGCGTCGGCCGCGACCGGCGCTTGTGTGCAACGTTCGTATGTAAACAAAAACATGGCTGCGCACCACGCGTGCCTGGCCGGGCCGACCGGGGACGTGCCACCTGTGTGACACTTGCTGAGAGTGCAGATCACTGGGGCTTCTGGTGAGTGCTCTTGACGCTCGGGTGCTGACAGCTGTAGAAGTGTAGTGAAGCGTCAGCTGAGATGCAAATATTCGGTTGTTTTTCTTTTGAATCATATCAGTAAATAAACTGCATTTAAATCGGCTTCTACCTTGAAAATCACTACATGCATTATTTATAATGTTTGCATCTTGATAATCATCTTTTGATCAGCCACCGTTATTAGATATGCGTTGTATATCAGCCGCATTGTCTCAGAGACTCTGATGCTGCGACAGTTGACGCCTCGAGCCACCCACGCGGTGCAAACAGCACGTTTCTGCGGACGGAAAATTCAGCCGCTCTCTGAGCACGTCTCAGTGTCTGTGTTCGTGTAAGGGTGTCCTCTCCACCAGCCAGACGACTTGTAAGATGTGTGTGTTTCACGTCTCTAGGACGCTATCTGTGGCGGCGAGAGGGCCACACGTGATTCCACCATCACCTCTCTCTCTCTCCCTCTCTCCCCTCTCTCTCTCTCTCTCTCTCTCTCTCTCTCTCTCTCTCTCTCTCTCTCTCTCTCTCATGTGTCTCTGTGTCTCTGTCTGTATCGTCACTGAGCTGAAAGTCTTCTGGTTGCGTTCTGGCGATGACGGTAACCCATAGGCCAGTCGCCATGTCCGGCCCATGCGACGAGACGAGAGCGACACTGATTGTGTCTGGGGAAGACCGAGACAGAAAACTTCGTTACCGGCCACTCAGAGTGCGGCAGAGAGGACAGAGAAGACAGAGGCACTGGGACATGGCGGCTGCCCAGCTGGCGAAACGACAGCAAGACTATATACCAAGCCTTTGATACACTTTGGAAGCTGATTGTCCAGCTGTGCCAGAAGCTAAAAGTTCATAAACGATACATTTTATGAAGATCATAACATATGCAGGTCCCGATGCAGTCATGATTGGGGTACGTAGTAAAAGTGGAGCGTGAGCGTCTCGTACGCTGAGATTGCCGACATTATTTACGGTAATGCGCAGACGATCCAGCCGCCGAGCGAAGCGGACGCTCCCGGCGAGCTCCCGCTCCACCGTGTGTTATTACGGCGCTGCGATGGACCTCTCGCACCCCATGGCCACGTTCTGGTCAGCAGGCTGGCATGTACGGCCTGTTTATTTGTCATATGATCGCGAAGAGAAATGGCCAAGAGGATGCCTTGCAATTTAGCTGTTGCCGAATGTAGTTTGCTATAAGATAACGACCAGACCAGCGGGCAGCGTGCCAGCGCGCGGTGACTTGCCCGGAATGCACCTCCAGGCATAAAGCCATACGAGCATTAGTTTTCAGAGTTTTAGATACGCGATCATCATGTGCTTTCTATATCATGCAAGGTAATGAAAATAGTTATCGTTTTACTAAGCAGCACAGTAATCGATGTCAATTGAGTTTCACCCGGTTGCGTATAGGACGAGAGTTCCAAAGTTTTCTAATCAATATTAATAATTAGCTGCAACACATATGCTTGAATGAAGACTATACTGTTAATTATTCATACAAATATGCGCCTGCTGTGCACTTGATAAGAGCAATGCTCATTTGTTTCAAACTGCAGCGCTCTAAAATGATGCACCTGTTGCCTGGAGCTTCCTGACATTGTAAAGCGTCGTTAGTGCTTGCGTAAAAAGTGCGTTACAACTCAGACTCAGCCCTGTCAGTTGGTTTCTCCGGTGATTAATTCACCGAGCTATGACGCTGATTAACCCTATTAGTGGCAGGGGGGGGGGTTGTTTTTATCCACCCCTCAGGTTTTTCGGGAATATCTCCGAAACCGCTGAAGCTACGATGCTGAAATTTTCTGACTTTTCCTAAAACTAAATTGGGCACATTCCCTGAAAATTTCAAGTTCATAACTTTACCAGGGGCGGCTCCAGAGCACTGGGAATTGGGGGTCTTATTCGTGAAGCGAGTCATTTGGGCGAAGATCACGATGCTGCACCAGTTTTACGAACAGTGAATGAAAGGTATCATGTGATAACATATACAAAGTTATTGTGCATCCTCTTTTGACACGTTTTTGCTATAATAGGCGGATCCAGGCGTCCAAACAGGGGGGTTATTTTTTACCTCCCAACATAGGTGCCCTGACACCGCCTATGCATGACCAATACAATTTTAGTCGTTCTCTCATAAGAAAATTGTAACATAACAAGACCATTGCCACCCTTTTTAGAAACAGTACCAACAAAAACCTTATTTACTATACTTTTTGTGTACCCCCAATCTCAATGATCTGTATCCGCCTATGATTTTTGAAAATGCATATTTTTAGGATCCATGTGAATTCCTGGTTCATTCTCTATCGATCGGCAAAAGTTGCGTTAAGATTGGTTCAGAAACCTGGCCGTGATAAACAGTCTAAAATGTATCTGCAATTTGCCCGTTTTTACCCCCCTCTACCCCCCTATTGACATTTTTTAATTTTATTTTTTTAGAAATGTAGATCTTGTTGAGCCAAATCGAATGCCGTTTGAATTTTGAAAATCGGCCGGTTAGATCTCGAGATATCAAGGGGGGGTCGTAAACAGCCCCCCCTGCCACTAATATGGGGTAGCCAGGAGCCTGCCACTAATAGGGTTAATGCTTCCAATTACTGGCTGGCAGTGCCATCATCAAGTCCATCAACAAGCGCTCAGGAGGCTGAGGCGATGAAGTTTCAGTTGGATGTTTGCGTTTCAGCTATTTATCCCTGGTGGTTTCGCTAATGTGCTGAAGGTCAAATGTGTAAGATGTTAGTTCAATGACTGAAACACGCTAAAATGACGAGTTTGTCATTTGCAAACACCATTGCAAGTGAAAGTGATTTTCTTGGAGGACAGTGGACAGCCGAGGCGCACGGTATTGAGCTGCTACCAGCCGCCCTTGCAGTTATTAGTGGGAACTGACAGTTGACAGTAGCAAAATATATAAAAGGTATCATTACGATACCCCATCAGCTCTAAAGCAGCTCAAAAGTGCACATTCCCCCATCAACTCTAAAGCAGCTCAAAAGTGCACATCTCGAACACACCCGCATTGGCATTGGTAGCGGCCATGGCGGCAGTCGTGTTGATTTCACAGAGTGTGTAGGATGTCGCAGCGATAAAGATCGTCAGGGACCACAGACACTGATGGGTCTCAATCGACCAGCCTGAGGCGCGTCAGGCTCTCCGATCGCTGACCTCAGAGCAGTCAGAGCTGGACCAGCGTGCCGCGGTCAAATCTGGGGTCGCTGCTGCCGTCAGCGGGCTCGTCCCGGGGCGTGACGGGTCCATGGGCCGACCGCTGATGATGAATTGTGACAAATGTGGCGTCTTCACCGCCGCTTCCAGAAGCTGACCTTCCACCTGAGGTCGGCCACCGTGCCGCCCCTGCCCCCGCCACGAGGGACACCACCGACCGGCCAGCCGCCCCCGCCGCAGACACCGCTCATGACTGATTATCCGGAGGCGTCGAGACGACCGGTGGGCTCCGTTTTGATGTGCCGGAGACAGATCGGGTGTTGTGTGGCGGAGCGCTGCCGGTAGCGTCCGTGACGGAGAGA